CACACACACACGCGCGCACGCACGCACGCACGCACACACACACACACAGACACAGACATGTATCTTGAAATTAATTAGACCGTTCTACACATGAAACTTTTTACCTCTTGGTAATAAATATTACACAAATTTTGCAAAGTGTTCATTTCTGTATGTAAATGTTAGTGTATTTTTTATCACACTCATCATCATAATATATAAATAGTGCTCTGTTTGAACACAGCTATTTTACTCTCATAGAAATGAAAAAAGTAATACAGACTATTAAATTTAAATTAATTAAAGAAAATTTACTACATATTATAGTACTTCATCATTAGGTTAATAATTAAATATGATGCTTTGTAAGTAAATAAGAATAAATATAAAGAATGCATGGACAGCTGTTGAACAAGATAGACATTAAATTATATTTCATTGCTATTGCAAACACTTATGATAACGTTTTACACTGTGCATAGCAAATATTGTGCATGCGTCTTGTCACTGATCTCAGCTAAAATTGTAAAGGCATTTCAATAGTCCGATCGATAATTGGAATCAACTATCTAGCCCATAGCCAACAGATTAATGCAACTCTCATCTCTTAAAAGGATATTAAATATAATTGCATACTATACATATAGTAGTAATAGGTACAAATGACTTAATAATTGTTATAAATTAAAATTATTTCTATAAAAGTCAAATGACATGGTATAAAATCGCCTTGAAGATATATTCATAATATAAAATGGAAAACTGTGCAGGCCTGAACTTGTTATAATAAGTTGTCGTAGCGTAAGACCCTCTTTATCGCAACTGTAATATTCATGTTATTTTAGTTATGGCATATCAATAAATTTCGTAATAACAAGTTGACTATTACAGTATGTGTGGTGCAATGCCTCTCACGCGCAGCAATGATGTCAAAGTGGGCCGGATGGTGGTGGCGGCAGCGGAGGGTTGACCACGAGCCGCGACACCCTCTCTTGTGCTGCCATTACAGTAGCACACATTTCCTTCTCTTTACCGGCTCCGGAGGCTCCAGAGCAGCCAGAATTGCCTCGTCAAATACATTTTTTAATCCTTTCTGTAATGGTTCAAATATTTCAACTAAGTAATTGCAATGTAATATAAATCTTATCAAGAACTGGGATCTTCAAAAGATACAGAATATGCACATTTCAAAATAGTATGTTGCACCTCCACTTTCAATAAAAAAATATGAGTTTCTACACTGATGATGTCTTCAATCTGGGCAGTAAAAACAAATTAAAAAATACATGAAATTACCTGTGTAAGAGCAGAGCACTCAACATACTTGACAGCCTTCAGTTCCTTTGCAAGTTTCTCACCCTGTTCCAACGAAACTGGTTTTTGTTTTATTTTAGCCAGTTTTTCCAATGTAGCAGGATCATCTCTCAAGTCTATCTGTGTTCCAACCAGCAAAAATGGAGTCTTTTGTTGATGATGTGTTATTTCTGGGACCCACTGAAAAAAGTTGTTAACTCAGTGTCGCTCTTTCACAGAAAAAAAAAGTTTGTAATGAATAAGTGAATTAATAACTTACTTTTTCCTTGACATTTTCAAAAGAACTGGGACTCACTACGCTGAAGCAAACAAGAAAAACATCTGTTTGCGGGTAACTCAGTGGTCTGAGTCTGTCGTAATCTTCTTGACCTGATATACAAACAAGAACAATGATACAAACAATACCCACATTTCACTTCTACATTTATATGGATTATTTCATAATTTATAGACATGCTGAAGGCTTACTAAAGGTCAAATAGATATCTCCTATAAACACTCAGCCAACTAAATTTTTATTTTGTTTTTCGTTTATCTTTGTTCACAAAATAAGTTTGATTTTTTGTTTCAAATTTTGTTTTGTGTTTCTTTATTTTTTTTTTCACAAAATTGGGGGAGCTTAATATTAGTGAACAGCCATATATATTTACTAATATTATTATTAGGCTGTTTGAAAAAATAACAGAAAATGAGCAAAAAATAAAGGCATAGTGTTCATTGGCAGTATCAAAATATGAAGTAATTTTAAGATATAAAGTTTATCTAGATAGAGACATTAGTTTTGTTTATTCAAAACCATTCTAAAATAAAGCAGGGCAAATAAAAGTAAAAAGCGTTAATTCGGCAATAAATATATTGACCCATTTTTGTTTTAACATATTTACCTGCAGTGTCAAAGAGTCCTAAGGTGTAAGGCTCTCCACCAATCATTACAGTAACTGCATAGTTATCGAAGACAGTGGGCACATACTCTGAGGGAAATTTGTTTGTGGTGTAACTGATAAGCAAACAGGTTTTACCAACAGCACCATCTCCCACAACCACACATTTGATTGTTTGCATCTTGATTCAGTTGCTATGATAATTTTCTTAATATTACGTAGAAAAGTCACAAAAATCTATAGGCTTATTTTGGGTGGCCTGAAAGGACGATCTGCACATAGCAGTTCACAGCTACCAGGAATTACCTGAAACAAGACAAAAGATAACCTTCAATTTCAATGTTTATTGACCATTCATTGTCACAAAACTACTTGTTACAAAAACACAACCACCATTGAAAGTAACCAATAGATATATTTGAAACTGATGGATGCATCATTGGTAATTACTACCTCTAACATTTAAAACACTGAACTTAGCTTAATTTTTTGTTAAAATGTTTGACAATGACCCATATTATTATTGCTGTGGAAATTACATCACAGCTTACAATTACTAATACTTTTCTATTATTACATGCATTACATAAATCAACTACTCACAAAATAGGTGCCTCAATGTCGAGTTGCAGACACCAGCCCATTACACCAAGTACATAAGTCAATCTTTACTAATTTCACACATAGCAATTAGTCTAATCTTAGATGAATATGATTAAAGAATTTATTACAATTTGTTTCTTGAAAAGAAACATTAATATTGAAACAAATGTGGACTTGATGTGCCCACTCTCAAACCCAGAAAGCATGATCTAAGCACTAACTGTACATAAGAGATTTCTAACAAGGTGGATAAGTACAATTATGAGTTAATGTATTTAACATATGTATACATATAACGTTAATATATTTATCAAGGAAACCTGACTCTTAATAAATTCATGACCTTTTCAAGGAACAATCATTTATAACATTTTCTTCCTGTTATTTCAACAAACTCCCACAAGTTTACATTGAAAATGCCTGAGTCATATCCAGTTAGGGTGAAAACTGTATAACGACTCATGCATAATAAAAAAGCAGTAGTGTCATACAACATGAAAATGAATTTGACAACAAGGTCAATACTTTTCCTATATTATATTATGATCAATCACATGTGTTCTGTATATTATTAAAAAAAAAATTATTATTAGATTCTTATTCCTCAAAACTATATTTAAAGAATGTACAAATAATGAATATTATGGGAAGTAAGAGATCTGTATTTAAAATGTGTAAGAAATTCGCAAGTGCCATAGTATTATAATGTAATTCCTAAAACAGTAAGCCATAATGACAATTTTGATGTTAACATTGAGATGGAGACAAATATTCAACCCATTACTGCACAATGTAGTCTCACCAATGCAATAACCTATCTAAACTGCTCTAATCACTCGCTTAGCAAATTTTGTTATGCTATAGTATATTATATCTTTCAACTGAAATTGAAAAAGGACAATGACCCCGATGAGGGTCACACCAGGAAGCCATCCACAAATTACAACATTTGCGTACTTCATGCACTGTGATAAATCAGCGTAAACTATTTACAAAGCGCTTAGCCACTGAAAGCAGCAACATTCACACTGCCTATGACTCTTTTAGTAACCGATACGCTAAATAAGTACATAGTGTCATAAGTATCTACTGAGCACACGCGAAACTAATAGCAACAGACGTTTATTTGTGGTACGTAACTCTAGGTGAACGATATGCTACACGAAAATGAAATTGCATTACATAAATTGCACTTTTAACGCACAATACTATAACCGATAAAGACATTTATTCCAATTTTTTTTACATAATCACGTCACAATACACTTTGACGTCCATCTTGTGGCGTAGGAAACGGAACAGAGGTTACATTCTGCAGTGGGTTTATGTATATAGTCAATAATTTATTATTTAGTCACTCACCTTTTGAAACAAAGAAAAATCGTTTAATTTTCTATTTCTAACAAGTTTGGAGTTTAGTTAGGAAGTCACAAATTGCACGCAGTGGGCTGGGTCATCGATGGTGAAGGACGCCATTGATTTTTTTTTTAATATTGCATTTTAGTGATGACCTATTCACAGTTAAATAGATACGTCTTTTGACTGCATCACAAAATTCTTTTAAGTGATTTACTCATTGGATTGGTGCCTTCTCGGTCCTTAGAGCGCGCCATTGAGTCTTTAGTTCTTTCAGTTCCTAAATTCGGTGGGATCTGGGAATTGGGAAGGAATAGGAACTGTTAAGGTTAACCGAGTTTTAAATAGGAATTTTATTTCAAAATACAACAACGTGTCATGGTTATTATATTTGAGTTTGTTGTCTATCTTATTATACATAGTGTTTTTTCAAATGGGACAACATAGGGAAACCCGAAACCTGTATTGGACGAAAAAATTGGGATAGCCAAAGTTGGTTAAGTTTCATAAAATATTTTACATGCAAAATTAATAAAATTCAATTTCTTATAAGTATGCTTTCATTGCATGGGAAGAAAAAATCAAGACAAGAAGTCGGTCTAATTTCATAAAATGTTTGGATGTGTGATAATAACTTGCACTCAAAAAATTTCTTTTTCGTCATTTTTCAATATGGCTACCATACAAGCGTTTTTGGCAGCTGAAAAAAATGTTCTAATCCGTCTAAAAATCGGAAGGTCTTCAACCATAATTCGGAGTAAAAAATAGATTGTAGTGCACGACGTATACAGCAAAATATCCGTATAGTTATTACTATATAAAAGCAAAGAATTTGAAATTGGTAATATATATAATAAAGAAATTGTTATTAAATAACTGTATTAAGTTATTTAATAATAATTTAACTTCGTATAACCGTTAACCAATTCTTCGTTTTTTATGCGATTTGTGTCTTAGCGGCAAATACAACATAATATGTATAATGGATGATGGCTACAAGTATCAATTTTTGTAATCAAGTAATAATTTTTGTATCTATCATTATTAATAATGATAGATACAAAAATTATTGATATTTATAGAAGTTAAATAATTTGCTATTTCTATTGTTAAATTCGACGTTTCTTCTATGTATTGAAAATAACATTAATAAGTAACGAATGGTTACTGTCGGCTGGTCGAGTTCCGGGTACGGCGCATCCTACAACCGACCATGCGCTGCAGGCCAAGGAAGATAGGCTCGTTTTATATGTTCTTAATATATGTATAACATGTATTCCTGCACATAGCGGTTAAATTTGATAAGAAAATGAAAGTAAATATGAAAAAGTTTAATGGATGGACACTTGTAAGTTTATATTTGAGTCTTAAACAAACTGGCAAAGTTCCATCATGCATCTCACTCTAACTACTACTACTAAAAATAATGGTAGCCCATTATTTGTCTTATTCACAACGTCTTGTAAACTGAAAGAACTAAAAAGACAGTTAAACTATAACATCGCCTCGGGTCTCTGGCTCCGCATCTACTGAACTAAAAGACAGGTAAACTATTAAGATCGTGCAGGAGTAACGAATTCTTTTCGGTCAGTGTCAGGAAGTTTATTCCGCTATTACCAGTTCATGAACTACTCAAGTCTATACAGTAAACAGCGATCATTATGTTGCTACATTGATAAAAAAGTATGTAAAGTTACCTCAATTACGCTAGTATAAAGATATCATTGCAACAATTGTCTTTTTTTCACCACTATTCTGGGATTACGAACTTCCTCTGATATCGAAATAGACTAAGGCTCAATTAGTTGGAATTAGTAGTGGATATAAGGTATGGAAAGCTTAAGCTTGTTTAATAAAACTAGGCAAACACAAATAAATAAATTTATAAGTACTTAGAGTTTTTCGTTTATTGATAGATTTCAAACATAACAACAAACAGGTTATAGTTGTCATAGTAACCCTTTTTTTAACATCTCTCAACAGAAACCTATTTGTTCTGAAATCCTCTTAATCCTGAGTCTGGCAAGTGGTTTAGTGAAAATATCAGCCAGCTGATCTTCATAAGTCACTTTGTCGACGTTTAGATCACCTCTCTTCACCAGCTCTCTAACAAAAAAAATGTCGCACCCGGATATGTTGATTACGACGGTGAATTCAGATTTTTCTGCTAGCCTTATAACAGCTTCGTTATCAACTTTTAACACGGAATCTTCTTAAAATTAACAAGAAGGATTTTGTTTATACGTGACATCCATATAGTTTCGCTAGCCGCTGCAATTTCAGCCTCTGTAGTCGAAATTGAGACACTTGTCTGTCTGCCTCAACCATGAGATTGAGACACTTGTCTGTCTTTGCCTCAACCAGCACCCCGCTTGTGGATCTTCCAGTGCTGATACCTTTCGCATGATCAGCGTCGCTGTAACATTCCAAAATGCCTTGTTTGTAATTTTTCTTATACTTGATACCTAGATTTGGGGTGTACTGCAAATACCGCATTATGTGCTGCAGTCGCACACAGTCTGCTTCTTCTGGTTTTTGCAGACTCCGTGATACTACACTAATAGCATATGCACTGTCAGGTCTTGTGCATACCATTAAGTATGCCAAGGCTCCAACGATTGATCTCTAATTATTTTTCATATAACTCAATCTCTAATCCACTCCACTATGTGTTGCTTGACGTACTGTCTTTTACAATCGGCGTCGAGACCGGTTTACAAGTATCCACCTCAAATTTCCGCAAGATCTTCTATACATAAGAAGTTTGGAATACTTTGATTCCATCTCCTCTACTCTCTATCTCTATTCCTAAGAAATAAGAGACAGGCTTTGTAGTTATTTTGAACTGACCATTGAGTTCCATAATTAACTCGTCTAGCAGAATTTGACTTGATCCAGCGGTCAGGCCATCATCCACGTACAAAGCCACCATCACTTTTCCGAACGCTGTTTTTTCTGAAAATACGTGGATCTGCTTCACTTGTCTTAAAACCAATTTCGTTGAAGAAGTCTATAATGCAACGGTTCCAGCATCGTGGTGCTTGCTTTAACCCATAAAGACTCTTCTGCAAAAGACAAACTCGACCCGAGCCGTCATCATAGCCTTCCGGTTGTTTCATAAAAATTTCTTCATCCAGAGACCCATATAAGAAGGTAGTTGTGACATCAAACTGGAGTATCGCCATTGCTTCGCTAGCTGCGACAGACAGCACAGAGCGAAAGGTTTCCATCCTAATAACCGCGCTAAACGTCTGTTCGTAGCCAATGTCCTTTTTCTAATAAAAACCTATCATTACCAGTCCTGCCTTATATTTATTTACAGAGCCGTCAGCGTTCATTTTAACTCGAAATACCCACTTGCAGGGTATGACTTTTCTTCCATTTGGTAGGTTGACATACTTATACGTGTCATTTTCTTTTAATGAATTAATTTCGCTGTACATGGCTTCCTCCCATAGCTCCTACTCCGGGCTTCTAATTGAATCTTTATGCGACGTTGGCTCGTTGTATCTCATTACAGTGTTCATGATAAAGTCTTTGTATCGATCTGGGGCACGTATTGAAGAATGATCACTACGTATCATCTGATCCGGGAACACGTTTTCATAAACGATGTGATCTTGACTTATAATACCTTCGTCTACGGCATTATCTTCATCAATGATATCACCTTCATCATCGTTATCTTCATCAATGGTATCATCTTCGTTAACAATATCATTCTCCCCCGATTCAATAGATTTTTCTGGCAAAGTGTTTAGAGCATCGTGATATTCCTCATAGCCTTCCAAATTTTGTTCTTCGATGTTTATTTTCATTACTTAAGGGTACATTCATTAAAGTTCTTAAAACTTTTTCATCAAATATAACGTCTTTAAAACTTACCAATGAATTTTTATTTGGGTTCCAAAGTCTATACCCATCACCATTGTTGTAGTCAATTAAACTGCAACGTCTAGCTTTCTTTTGCATTTTCTTTCTCCTCTACTTTGGTACTTGCGCAAAAAGCAAAAAGCAAAGTGAACCAATTATCCTCAAGTGTTTATCTGAGGCTTCTTATTAAGCCAAAATATGAACTTTTAGTATGAACGAAGGCGATTTGTGTTCCACTGTAGTTGCCCCTGTCCTATTCAGACTACAAACAGCAGTGTTTACCACCTCAGGCTACAAATTCTGAGGTATCTCTTCGTGCGCGTGCATCATTGCTCTAGCAGATTCGACTATAGTGCGGTTTTCCCTTTTGCTACACCCATTCCGTTCTGGCGTGTACGGTGTAATAAGCATTAGCTTTATTCCACTTTGTTCAAGTTATTACCACTTAAAAGCTCCTTGACAACGTGTCCAACATGTTCAGCCTCAGACGGCATTTGTTTCAGCTTTTTATATACATCGGATTTATTTATCAAGAAATACAATACACACATATATGTATCGTGTAAATTCATCCTTGAATAATACGAGGTATCAATATCCAGAAATACTTGCAGGAAAGGGACCACAAACGTCAGAGTGTATATGTTCACCAGGCTTGGTAGCTTTTTTCGCGAACACCAAATGGTTGTCTAGGTGCTTTTCCAAAAACACACCCTTCGCGTAGTTCTCCATTATCTGACGTCTTTGTTCCTAGTTCTCTCTATCAATCTTTTCACGTGCTGTTTATTTTGATGGCCTAACCTTTTATGGTATCAATCACTTCCTTAGATTGAAATAGCAGGGTGTACGACTTTGCAATCTATCTTATACAGGCTATCATACCTTTGCCTTTTCCCTGTTAAAACAAGACTATCATTAACCTTCGTTGAACATTTTGTCACCCTCGACTCAAATAGGCTTGTGGGATTTCTATCCAGTGAACTAAGCATTGAGAAAAGGTTTTTGCTAATCTGGGGAACGTGTACCAAACATCTCTCAAGAAAAGGTTTTCAATCTTATATTTAACATTGGCTTTCACATGAACTGTGCCTTTCCCAACAACATTTATCATGTTTCTGTCTGCCTTAGCTGTGTGTGTGTTGTGAAACTGTGTGTTTCACCAAAGTATTCAAAATCTTGTAATAGATCTTCTCGCATAGTGACGTGACGTGTAGCACCCTTGTTCACATACCAGTCATCACAATTAGTGCCAGAATTCACTATTAGTAACATCATATTAGAACTACCAGGTTTGTTTTCCTTCTCCTTATCACCGCTTGGGCAATCCTTTTTGAGATGACCAATTTCCTTACAAATAAAACATTTATACTTTTCCTTTGTCCCTTGGTCTTTTTGGTCATTCCGGTTAGCAACCTTTTTATTTTCCTCCACATAAAGCCCAATTTCACTTGACGCAACATCAACAACATTAGCGTTGAGAGCTTTTTCGTGTGCACACTAAGGTGCACACAACTGATCCGTAATATTGTCTACTGTTCTATCACTCTTTGACATGAACAGCCAGTTCCACTTAAATGAAAAATAAGCATCCGACAGCGTGTCCAGGATTTTACAGATTGCAAGTATTTCCGGTAGTTCCACCTTCTTTTCTTTCAGTAACTCTTCCTTTAGACTGTGCCACAGATTCCGTAATTTGGATATATGAGTCGACATGTCATCTGACGGATCTCTCTTAGGTTTAAAGAATTGTAAACATAGATCGTAGATTCGGCCCTCATTACGTCTTTCATATAATCAATGGAGTTCGTCCCAAACTTCTTTTGGTGTAGACAATCTTATTACTTTACCAAGCGTCTCATATGTCACGTTGTTCGTTATCAAGAGTAAGGCTGTGCTCTCTAACTTCAGAAAATCTCGAAGTGTCTTACTGTACAAATCTTTTGGTGCATCACCGCTTCCATCTGCGGATCTTACCGGCTTTTGTATATTACCAACCATAATATCCATAAGCCTTAGCAAGGGCTTAACAAGGCTGTCATCCGGTACGTCAAGTTTCTTTAATTGAATTTTAATTTAATTTTCCATTTCACTCATTACCTTGCGGTTAGGCCCATAATCAGTTGGAGTTGGTGGTGGATAGAAGGTGTGGAAAGCTTAACCTTGTTTAAATTGACCTAGACAAACACAAATAAATAGATTTGTAAAGTATTTAGAGTTTTACTTTTATTAAGAGATTTCAAACATAAAAAACAGGTTCTAGTTGTCATAGTAACACTTAGGAAATGAAGGTATTTTTCCGGATTTAAATCGCTTATATTTGTTTTCTAAATCCGGAAAAATAGTTTCATTTCCTATGTGTAACAATCGCGAAAACCTAAGAACTCCATTGTAACCATTTTTTTAACACAATTTAAATTGCGGCGGAACGGAATGGAACGGAATGTGTAACGTACAAACTAGATATGAGCCCAAATCTTACGCGGAATTCTCGCGCATGCTAAATTTTCAATTTTTTTTTTATACATGACAGGCAAATGACTCCACTCCACCTGATGTTAAGTGGAAAGTGGTATCCAAACGCGAAGGAACCTAGTGCAGCGATGAAACCCTCACTGCACTAGCCACCTCCACCCTGCCTGCCTACAATATGCTATTTACGGCGTTCCGCCGCAATATAAACTGAACCATATGTAGTTGTGGCGAATGAACAATCTAGTAACCCGGGTTGATCATGATTCATGACAAAATTAAATGGTGGTCGCATACATAGGGCGCACTATAAGTTTCCGGAACTGGCCACTTACATAAACAATATTTAAAAAGTAATCACAACATTTGAAAATGGAACTCTTTGGCTGTAGAATACAGTTTGTTTCATCTGACTATGACTTGTTTTTACATTGTGGCGTCATTTTAGAAATTTAGAAATTGTCTATTTCACCATGTTTTATCTCGTGAAAATTTTCATAGATTAATTTTCTACAATTTTAAGTGTAATTGAACAGCTCAGCGGAGCTTCTCTCGGCTTCGCTGTTAAATAACTGCTTTTGGCGATGAAGCACCATGCAGGACGGCTATTTATAGCTGGTTTGCAGAATTCAAACGCGGTCGTGTTAATTTCAGTGACGAATTTTGTGAAGGTCGCCCGTCCACTGCTGCGAACAACAAAAACATTCGATGCAGTGCGCCGTGTGATCAAAACAGACAGGCATGTGACATACCATGAGATTTGGGCATCTTTAGGCATAGGCATGAGTCAAATACAATTAATACTACACAAACGTTTAGGTGTGGAAAAGCTGTGCTCTCGGTGGATCCCACACAATTTGACTTAGGCTCAAAAAACGGATTGCGTGTCTTGGTGCAGTGCCATGCTTACCAGATTCAACTAAGAGGCGTCAAATTTGGTATAGGACATAACAACACCACAACACATTGTGGGACATAAGTTATAGTTACGATCCCAAAACAAAGCATCAATCGAGCGTATGAGTCCTTCGAGATGAGCCGAACCAACCAAAGTGGCGCGCGTGCTAAGTGCCTCTAAGCGGATGATTGCTTCTTTTTTTGAATAAAACTGGACACGTGGCTACAGTTGCTTTGGAGAATCGTTGTACCTTGAATAGTGATTGGTACACGACCATTTGTTTGCCGGAAGTTATTGACAAGCTCCGTTAAAATGACCGTAACGCCGTATTATCTTGCACCACGATAATGCCAGTTCTCACACGGCCAGACAGACTTCAAACAGCTTCTTGAAACATTTTATGTTTGTGCTAATAAGCCTGTAGTTTTGTAGCTTCTTTTTTTGTAGTTCTTTCGTTCGTGACTGATTACCATGGTATAATAACACAAGTACTGTAATTCCATATAAACGTAGATGCGCGCCTTGTATCTGTGCAAGCCCGTCACACGACGTTTAGGTACGTACGCACACATTTGCATAATCTCGCGGTGAGCTCGCTAAAGAATTCAAAATTTAATAAAAAATTCAGTGTTCAAAAAATGACATCTAGTAGTAGAAATATTTATTGTTGCGTTCGTGGTTGTTTAAAGAAGAGCGCCTTAAATTCAGAATTGTTTAGAATTTGAATCATAATAATTATACTCCCATAATCGAAATTCGATCCGCGATGCTGGTGTACACAAATCAATAACTACTGCATTTAACAAAGGTTACATACAACAATATATCATGAGAATACTATGAAGAGCACCTTCATTTTCTTGAAATGATTTCTTTCTTGTTTATAGTTTATGTATGCGACTGCCAAAGTACACTAGTCACAGATATCGTTGGATACAACTGATGGCACTCTATTAATTAACAATGGGAAAGAACGCTTCGATTGTTCTCTTTTATCACAATATTGTAGTTCACATCATTAGCTTTGCAAGAAGAATAAGATTATTTTGTATTCCCACATCGTATAAAAAATTAAAAACATAATATTTTTGTATCACTTAAAATTGATCTGTGGCGTTATTAACAGATTCAAAATAACTTGTTCATTTCACATATACAACAGATCTTAACTCATTTCAAAGAATAAGTGGCCAGTTGTCAGTTCGGTATCAGTTCAGTTGAAAAAAATAAACAAAGGAACGTGTTCGTGAAATTCAAAATTTTAATTTGATTTCACAAATTTCACATACACCACGACGAGCGGTGAAAACAATATTTAAACTTAAAATGTTGCTATTAGGCGAAACGTTCCCTAATTTTACAGCCGATTCGACTGCTGGAGAAATAAACTTCCACGAGTGGCTTGGAGACTCGTAAGTTTTTTACAAAAACTTTTATCTTTCATTTATGTTAACTTATTATCGCAAACAAGCAATATTTTCGCTAATAAAGTTAATGATAATAATACTGACTGTTGTATTCTTTTGCAGCTGGGGAATTCTGTTCTCCCACCCGTCGGACTTCACTCCAGTATGCACTACAGAGTTAGCTAGGGTGATAAAACTTATGCCGGAGTTTGCTAAACGCAATACCAAGGTCATTGGACTTTCCTGCGATTCTATAGCGTCTCATGTTGAATGGTGCAAAGACATCATAACCTATGCTGGTATGTCTGCCTTTGTAAATGCTCTGTAGGCACTGTAGTGAACCCTCATCATCATGACTAGTGTGGGACAGTCCCATATCTTTCTACATAAGTTCTGTTTATAGTGCCCCTCCCTATCAACCTCTTGGTTATATTAGAAAGGCACTATGACCTGCGCGAGTGAACCAGCGCAGGGACCATCACAGTCAGTTCCTAACCCCGGATCAGCCCATTTGCACAGTCTTCACGATGCCGAATGAACGGCGTCTCTGCAGTTTCTAAATTCCTATGCAGCTGGACGGATTGGAAGATGTCTAGCTAATCCTCTATTAGCTCTCCGGGCTAGTGCCAGAGAAGCCAAGCAACAGTGTCCTTCGACAATGTCCAGACTTAGCTATTGACTTAAAGGGAAACTCATGTGCACTGTGTATCTCCTTGCGTCAGGCCCTCAACTAGACCGCTACCAAGATGCGCTAGCTGCGCATGGGATGAACACCCTGGCCACTCTCTACCAGGGTCGACAGACTTGTTCGTCCCTGCAGCTAACCATAAACACCAGCGAGCCTGTAGATAGATTGACACCAGTGTGGGACAATGTAGACTAATCTTTAGGTTTCAAGATTGCTTAAGCAAAAGGGAGAATTTTATGTAGTGAAGCATTAAAATGCTTCATAGTACTATTCCAATTTGCAGGGAATGTTTTTGCACTTTTATGTGGTATTAGTTGTGTTAATAGTTATACAAATGTAAATGAAAAAATGTGGCAAGACTGCCATTCAGATTATTTTAAGCCACTTTATTTCGAAAACTTAAAATACTACACACACTCTAGGGTTTAGTAACTAGTATCAAAATTTAGGTAACACAAATAAAATGTGTTGGTTTATTTTAAATAATGCAACAATGTATTCGTCAACTTTATCAAAATTTGCTTGAGAAGATGAATGCTTATGTATTGGGGCAAGTGCATCAGTGCACACTAAAAATGTGTCCACCACTATATTTTTCTATGTTTTAGAGCAAAACATATTTAACATACTGCATAACTCCACCCTTGCTATTTTTTGCAATAGTTATTTTTTTCTAGTAAGAAACTAGTGATAAACTAATTTGGATTGTTATCCAATACATACAAGGCTGTGTGTTCTTTCCTTTCTTTGTCTGTGTCACTCATAGCAAATTTTAAGGCAATTAAGATCACTAAAGAGCTCACACGCAGATTTGCTTCTGTTAATAGGAATAGGAATTGTAGTTAGGAAACTACTTAACTATTGGAACAATCAATGGAAAGTTATTGAATAATGGTAATAAAGGTGTGAGGTTCGTGACACAAGTCATGTGAGTAACTGCTCCAGTTAACATCCGTGAGTTACATTGTAAACCAATACAGTTTCATCAGTAGGGTAATTGTTATTTCACATCTGTATACTTCCATTTTAATCTTTCTGCAATGTGCTTTTTGTCGATTTCAACAAATGAGATATAAGGTGGTATGAGTAAAGGTGCATGTAGTTATACAAACATTCAACACAAAATGCTTGATAAAAGTGTAGAACAACATTGTTATTTGCAAAGAGCAACCCCTAAAGTTTCTTGCTCATTCTTCTCTGGGGTATCTGCCTTACAAATAAGCAGTATAGTTTAACCATTGTGACGTTTTCTAGTGTAATAATACTTACCTATGAAATAAAGATTATTTTGAATTTTGAATTGTTTGGCACTTGCTGTTGGGAAACTTTTTACCACTGATTTTGAATTTTGTAATTTCCAGGTATCAATGAAGATGAAAAGTTCCCATATCCCATTATAGAAGACAACCAAAGGAAAATTGCTACCAAGCTTGGCATGCTGGACAATGATGAATTGGACACAGCTGGCATGCCGTTAACTGCTCGTGCTGTATTTATTGTTGACCCCAATAAGAAGTATAGGCTTTCCATTCTTTATCCAGCTACAACAGGGAGAAATTTTGAGTAAGAATATTGGATGTTTTCATAAGTACACCACACACAATTTTATTGGGACACCAATAGACTAATGTTGACCAAACTACAATTTTGAATTCCTGAATTATCCATTATAATGTCATAATATGATTTCCATCATAATATGTAAAAATCTGTGGAATTTAAAAGGAATCTGGTAGCCACATACTGACATAATTTTTTTAACAGGGATAGATAATACCTTTAGGTAGTGCTTACTGTCATATTTTTTTGATAATGCTTATCAATTGCACACAACGTTTTTTTTGGAAGAGATTCTGTAATTAATTTGAAAACATTGGCATACAACACTATACTAAAGAATATTTGATTGGCTTAAAACACTATACAGGGCGTCTCAGGACTTAGTACCTTACCTTGAGTATCAAATATTCTTTAGTATGTATACATGTCGTCTCATGGTATTGCCATATGGAGGGAAAGTACCTTAAATACCATAGATAGAAAATTTTACTGAAAGAAGATTCAAAGATTTTGAAATAATCTTCTGTCTGAACCGGGAATCGAATCCGCAAATCCTTATTCATAGGGATTGTTTTCTTCTAAATAACATAGCATCTTAAATAAAAGGAAGAGCATGAAATTTAACATTTAATTTGAAATTTTTTTGTTGTTTAATTTAAAAAAATAATCAGTATAGTAAAATTACAGGTGTTATTTTAACAATTGGCGGGTTCGATTCTCGGTTCAGAAGGGCGATTATATTCACTTCACTTTTTATTTTTATGGCTCCATCATTATGAGAAATGATGATTTTGCCAATGTCACGGTTGAAAGAAAAAAAAACAAAACAAAATATAAAAATCTCTGAATGTAGTTCGAATTGTTTTTAAATTCAAAATGAACTCAACGTTTAGTAAAATTTTCTATCTATGGTATTTAAGGTACTTTCCCTCCATGTGGCAATACCGTGAGACGCCCTGTATACATACTAAAGAATATTTGATACTCAATACACAATAATATTCTATTTCTCTAAGTAAAATAGGTTTACAATTTAGTTTTATTCTCATGTTGGACTTTAGAATGGTTTATTTAAAACACATTTAGATAAGCGTTACTCTTATCAGCTGGTTTAGAAATGTTTGCTTGTAACATTTAGATAAGCTTATCTTCTTATTTATCTTACAACAGTCTTATCTTATTTGTTTTACAACAGTTACAGTGAAATTTTCTTTGATAAAGAAATATTTTACTTCGTTTCTTATGTTCAATTCAAAACCGCTAATAATCATAATGTGCAGTTAATAAACATTTACAACAAATAGAGGTGCCTTTTCTAACTACCGGCCTTCCTTCACAATCGGTACATTTTCACTATAGCGTCTGTTTTACGAAACATATTAACACAATATTCAAGGCCTCCGAACGGAGATGGGCAAGCGCCCGGGTCTTACTCGGCAAAAACTACACACATCAAAAGTGTCTAGGGATCAAGTACGTTTAAGAATATTGCTGCAATTAGGGTTAATTATATTAACTTTTTTGTATCGCTATTGATACTTTTTAGTGAGTTTTAACATTTAAATAAGGAATATTGTTTAAAATTCGATAATAAGAAGAAAATCGATTGTCAATGTGGTTTTGTATAAAAATGAGTTATAGCGTTTTGACAAAATCATTACAATATCTGCATCGGAACCGAAACAATTTACATTATTATGGAGAGACGACATCATTTAACCCGAGAAATGATGATGCGAGCCGTCGGAATGTTGGAAGCTGGTTCCCGGCAACGTGCTGTGGCTTTCACTCTTAACACTACACAGAGCGTCATAAGTCGCCTCTGGACGCGCTATCGCATAACGGGCAGCGTGGCCGAACGACATGGAGGACGATCTCACATCACGACTCGCAGACAGGACCGGATATCCAAAATACTGCTCGACGGAATCGTACCATGACCGCCATGATGTTGGTTACGAGGCTCCACAGCTCCTCAGGCTTGCTAATAAGCGATCAAACAATCCGAAATCGTTTACGTGAAGTGGGTCTGCGATCCCGAAGGCCGCTCAGAGTTCCGCCTATTGCACCCTGCAATCGCAGGACCCGTTTACGATGGGCTCGCGAACACAAACTGGGAGGAAGAAGACTGGCGCTATGTGTGCTTTTCGGATGAATCCCGCTTCGGTATGAGACCGGATACAAGATGTACTCGAGTTTGGAGAAAATCTAGACGTCATGAACGTTTGAGATATTGTCAGGAAGTTCATCCATATGGTGGGGGAACAATAATGATATGGGCCGGTATTTGGATCGGCGGAAGAACCGATCTCATTTGGATCAGGGGTAACCTCAATGCTCAAGTTTACGCAGAGAGGATTGTTTCAGATGTTATCATCCCTTTGCGAGGCCAGTTGGGTGATTCATTTCAACTAATGCATGACAACGCACGTCCACACATGGCTAGAGTCGTAACACGCATTCTTGCCGAAGC